CGGACCCAAGTGGTGTCCCACCCGAGCACCCATCCATTTCTGGCTAATAAGCCGGAAGTAGCCATTCCAATCCCCCTTGTTTTTGCCGACAATACTATCTGCATATACTACCAGCTGCTACGGCTGTAGGGGCCTCTGTCGAGGCCCAAGGCAGGGTGGTACGGGCGAGTTCTGCTAGCGGTCGGGGAACGTTCATCAACGAGTGTCAATAGCCCCCGACCTAAACCAGCAAGACAACGAGCTCGTGGCTCAATGGTTGGGGCGTTTGACTCCGACAAAAGCGGTCGTGAGTTGGAGGTTCGGGTGCGGCACCATTTGGGTCTGGTTGACGACGGCTTATAAACCAGAAATGGTCATTCCAGTCTCCCTTATCTTTGCCGGAAATATTATCTGACTGGCGAGTGTCTACACACTTTACAACTCTTAAGGATCGTCGAAAGTCGTGTATCTCCTGGTGCTAATCTCTCCTTGTGCCTCCTGGAGAACACAATGTGCCCATTATAGATTTTGAACCCTATGAAGGTTCGCGTGCGCACAAACACCTTTCCTTCACTCGCCGAAGTATCCCTTCATGGCTGTTCATGCAACTCTACACCGAGGTGGGCTGCTCTCTTCCAGAGATAATGATTGCTTGTCTGGGGTGGTAGTGGTTGTGGTCTGGTAAGGATGACTTATTCGCCTTCCTAAACAGGACATGAGAACAAGAACCACCCACAATACAGGTATCATTGCGTTAACTTCCAGGGCAGATAGGGGTTACGTATGTGGGTTGCATTTAGGGACATGTTTCCGGTTAGAATTAAGGTAAGTTAGGGTTGCGGTTAGAATTAGGATCAAGAATATGGCTACCGTTTAGGTGTATGCTAGGTGTAAGACACGGGAATACTTACCTTTACTTGACTTATGCGCAGGGCTGCCTTGGGCAGGGGCAGGTAATTCATCCCGTCGGACGGTCCTTTGCGAAACACCCTCTCATCGCCCTCACGCCATAGCCGTACAGTTGGACCTGGGGCGGAAATCAATGTTCTAAGTAAGTTGCGTTGACATTCTTCTCACTCCAGCTCTTTCCCGTCAAAGTGGACCGCGTCTTCTTTCTAACCACTAAGTGGTCCCCAGTTTATACGTAATAACCGCCGCAAACAGAGCTGAAAAATTTAACACTGATAGCAATACTCGACTACTTTTACATGGCAACTCTTGCTCGCCGCCTTCGTGCTAGTCACAAAATTTTGTGTTACCGAGATTAAATTTCGAAACTTACCATGCTAACGCCTCCGCGTTAACCGTCTCACCGATGCACTAGGCCCAAATATTGACAACGTATTGGCTTTTTTCTCTTTTCCTAGCAGCGACCCAGCAGTGTGTTTGAACCTGGCCAAAAGTTCCAGTGTTCCGCTGACAGTAAACTCCCAGCAAACAGTAGCGGACCTGCCACGGACAAACACATCGCCATCAGCGCCGACGTCTGGGCAGGGTACCCTTCCAAGTATCTTCAAGGAGGCCAGTTGCTGTAGCCAAGCCCCAATAATGACCTTTCCCCCATCCTTGGCTTTTGGAACACTTCATTCAGTAGCCTCTTTTGCCCTGAACGGTCGCAAACCTAGCGAAAATGGAAGTCCAGAAACTGCAGATTCAATCCAAGATCTGAGTCACCTTCGACTGACCTCCGGTTTGCGTCCTGCTTTCACTGAAGAGGGCAATAATGGGTCTCTGGAGCTGAGCGTTGACACCCAGAGGGCCATGGAATCCTCGACGAGCACTCCTCCCTCCGAAGGTGCTGCTATCTACCTACACGAAATGAAAAATGAAAATGGATCCGAAGGCAGCGTCTCAAAGTCACCACCGGGTCTATGGTCAGCAACTCCCACCTACGGCATAGCCTCACCGGGTGACAACGCCTCCTGGAAAGCCCTTAGGCTGAGCGACGGGAAGGGTAAGCGTCGAAAACTAATAATTTCCCATTTATCTAATAAAAATCCGGTTAGAAATGGTATATAGGGCGATGTATGTTTTGCCTGAAAAGCCACAGTACGGTTGTAAACAGTAGGTTTTGACTTTGCTGAAAGGGGGTGCTTTGAATGGGATTATCTGTGTTGTACTCAGCATAACCGGCATTTGCGTTCCATGGCATCGAAGTCCTCTTTTGGCAACCGTTTCCTCAGCCAAAGTGCAGCCTGATGACGAATGACCGCAAAGTTTTACCTCGACGGTTCATTTGACATACGCGACAGGGTAGCGGTGACTTAGGTGTGACCGAACTCATAGATAGGGGGTGTTATATGGAGTATAGTAACGGAAAGGTTGAAGCACTGAACTCGTTTTCCTATTCTACTTCCATCGCATCGGAATGGGTGAAGTGTTGTCTTGTCCACCGGGGTGTGTTAAGCTTCAAGCATTGCCATCCTGACTGAGTTGAAGGTTTTGAACTTTAGCAACGAGTGTTCTTTGCGCTATCTGTGGTTTTTCTCACTGAAGTCTCTGTGGCGGAGTTACACGAGGATTATTTCTAATCTGCAAGTAAAAAGTGGTTTGGACAAGAACTAGTTCTCGACCGTACGGTCTGCCCATATAATCTACTTCCGTCGTAAGTCAATTAAGTTTCTGCCTTGCCGTAACGTTTATTAATTTTTGATATAAACATGAAACCAGCACATCAAGCACCGTCGGTATAGATGAATCCATAGTTTTCAGGCGATATATAGTATTATTATTATTTAAAATGACGTCCCGGAGGCATAGAAACTCTAAGGACCTGCATTTATTCGTGACTACTCTTCTGTCGCATTTGTGAATTTAGGACTTTCTGGCTGTGCCTATTCCGCTGTTTTCGTCACCTGCTCCATGAATATGTTCTAGTTCTTACTAAATAATACCACGCACATTGTCCGAAGTCTCATGGAATATCTGTATTTTCTATGTTGATAGGAACAGTGGACGAAGACGGCTTCTCCTTTTCAAACTCCAATGGCCACCTTGACGAAAAACGAAGTCTGCGACAGGTCGAAATGTTTACTGACTCCGTCAAACCCGACAAGGAGGGCATATACTTCTGCCATCTCTGTGAATTTACAGGTGAGCGGGTAAAAGGTTTGCCTTTGATTAACCTGTTCGAACCAATACTTGTCGGAATGCAGGCCGTCAGAAGACGCTAGGAAATCCAGCTGCCTAGGCAACCAGAGAACTTGGATTGTGCGGCACCAGCGAAACCCTGACTTCTTTATGGCTATGTGGTTCTCATCACTTCAAGCTGTCAAGCCCTACTGCCCTCCCCACCACACAGCCCACATAGGAGCAGGAACCGCCCGTAATACAGGTGTCTCTACGGAGAAAGCGCTTTTAAGGGTAGTGTTAGGCTACTGTCCCTGACGCGACGGATTTCGAAACTTCAGGCGCACAAAGCTCCTGTCCGAGCGGTCCCATCTGCTTCTTCTCAGATATTGTTGGAGTAACAACAATAGAGTACTTAAGCTCCCTGTAAGGTAGCCCATGGTCGCCTGTACTATAAGGATGAGTTCGAACTCACATTTTATACTCCAATGAGGACAGAATAACATGGCCTTACTCAGGACTGAAAGTGTGGCTAAAATCGTTCACGCTCAAGGCGGACTTCGTGGAATTCGTTCTTACTTCAGTTACGAGTTCCCCCTAAATGAAGCCCGATAAGAAGTTCATACGTGCTACAGAAACGTAGGACATTGGGGCATCAGATTACACACAAGATATCAAGCCTTTACGGACATGAGCGTGAGTCCGTGCAAGCTACCTTATCGAAATCGAACAGCTGGGGGCCCTGCTGACAGATTAGGCACTGCGTACGAGTGCTTCTTCACTGGTCACAACTTGGCCTTCGAAAGGAATAAGAAATATCTGGAGAGTGTTGGTGGCGGCCCTCTTGTGCAAATCGTCACTTTCAGTGAAAATGTTAATCGTTGGAAGCATGGAATGGTGTCCCGTGGGCATGTCTTTAGTATGGCATCAGATGCCCACCGAGCCTTAAATTGAAGGGGAAAAGAGATTTCTCTTCCGCCTCTATCCACAGCTTGAGATTTAGTGCGGTCACCATTTCGTTTGCTTACTCGTAGTTGTTACGGCTGTGATCATGCCTGATCTAGCCGGCCTAAATGATGTCACGGACGGTACCTCTCCATGCGTGGCGATTGGCGGCAGCGGAT